AGTATTTCAGGATTATTACAATCTATCCGCACATAAATTGCCACAATCTGCATCGATCAAACTACGGAAGAGGAAGAACTTCATGCTCTTCACCTTCCATCCATAGTCCTTCGACGACATTACACTGTAGTCAGTCAGTAGTACTTGGTACTAAGTCAGCTAGAGCCTAGAAGTTAATTGCCCGGAATCATCGCCGGTTCTGACGCAAAGACGAGGGAAGTTAAGAGAGTATCGTAGGAAAAGAAGGAAAAAAAAAATAAAGAATGTAGCGCAATCATCTGAAAAGCAAGACAGTAGAGTAATCAAGAAGTGCACTGCGTCAGTAGACTAATCCGATTCTTCGACAGTTGGCAAAAAATACACAGGCAGAAGAATCAGTACACATGGTATGCTGACCTTGAGTAGCCGCCTTTAGTTTAGCGTCCAACTAGATGTGGTATAGCGGGGCATCAGCTGGGAGCAATGGAGCAGAGGGACGCTGGACCTGGTTTGCAGCAGAAGGGCGTCAGACAAAAAATTTTAATTTTTCTGTAGAAGAAATTTTGAAGCAAGTAAGTCCAACCAGGCCTCCAGTTCGACACATTTCTCTTTTTTTTTCACTCTCCACCCATCCGTCACGAATTGCATGACGAGTAGTGCAACTAGGCCCTAACACGAGGCCGTGGCAAGCCTCTGAGCCCCCCTTCACGAAGAGGCTGGCAGCGCCAGGCAAATCATGAGCTGCAGCCATTCGGATTTCTCACGGACGCGGAAATATAAGCGTGGGGAAAAAAAAGAGGCTTGGAACCCACAGCTCACGAGTATTGATTTCCATCTGACCTTGCACTGTGCTCAGCAGACACTTGACGCTTTGCGCCTGATCTGTATCAGGACGAGAGAATCGCAGATATCCGGAAAACCAGTACATCCAAGCCTCTTTTTTTGGACATGGATTTCTGCCGCACACCACGTTTCCGCGAACCGGCATGGGCTAGGAACTCGCGTCTTTCTGTTTTTTTTTTTTTTTTTTTTTTTCCCTAATCTTCTCTGTATCGTGACAATTTGAACGGACGTCCCGACGGACAAATTGCGTCATTTTGCCTGGCACTGCCCGCCTTTTCTGTTCGGTAGGCCAATCCCCGAAGGACACTGCCCATCGCTCCGCCTTTTCCGTTCCGTCGGCCAAGGCCCGAAGGACGCAGCAAAAGAGGGGGAAAAAAAAAAAAAAAAAAAGGGACGCAGCGAGTTGACTGCTGTGCCAGAACAATATACCGGGGAACATACTGGTGATTGTAAGCCACCACACTAGCCAAGCCTAGATCGGCACGAGCCTGGTTTCGCAGTTTGACCAGGTTCATGCCAGTGTATGTTAGGACCAGGTTGCTGCCAGGTTCGGATTAGATTCTTTCCAAGTGTCCCCCCCCC